GCAATCCTGGAGCGTTATTCCAGCATTGTCAGCGAGGAGCAGCGAGGAGGAGGAGGAGGAGGAAGAGGAAGAGCTTTCCACTCATCCTCGCCGCTTCAGGGAATGCGGGATCGGGAGCTTTTGGGATCATCCCGGGCCATGTGTCCTTGGGCAGCTCCAGGCCGGACGCTTCCATAGGGTTGGGATCCACGGCCAGGAGGAGGAGGAGGAGGAAGAGGAAGAGGAGGGTGGGGTGGGCTGAAGAGCTCCGGGGGCTGCGCCGAGGTGGGAAGAGGAGCCCGAGCTCCGGCTGGACACGTTCCCGCTTTTCCCTGCCTCCATCCCTGAATCCCTGCGAGCCATCCCCGCCTCCCCGGGGCCATGCCTCGGACTCTGCGCTGAGTTGGGCGGGCGGGGGGAGGAGGAGAGGCCGCCAACATTCCCGGAGGCAAAATCCCCAGAGGCATTCCCCCCCCAAAAAAAAAAAAAAAAAAAAAAGGCCCCGTGGGCACATTCCCGGCGGGAATCATGAAGAAGTTCGCGTCCACGCGCAGCCTCAATAAGATCCTGCAGCAGTGCGACTCCTCGTCCCGGGAATACGAGGAGATCCAGGCTGTGGAGAAGAAGTGGCACCTGCACCTGGCCACGCCGCGCAAATTCCGGGAGAAGAGGTGCAAGATGCCCTCTCTGTTCCTTGCAGCTCCGCCGCCTCCCAAGAGAGCTCCCAGCACCACCCTCACGCTGCGCTCCAAATCCATGACGGCCGAGCTGGAGGAGCTGGGTAAGGCCGGCGGCGGGATGGGATCCCTCGGGAATCCGGGCTGGTGCTCGGGAGCCGCTTTCCAGCGGTTTTCCAGCGGTTTTCCAGCGGTTTTCCAGCGGTTTTTTCCGGCTCTTTGCATGCGCGCCGTGGGCCCGTGGTGGTGGTGGTGGGGGGTGTGGGAGGCTCGGGGAGGGGGGCAGCAGGATTCCCTCTCTGATGGGTATCCACAGGGGTATCCACAGGGATATCCACAGGGATATCCACAGGGGTATCCACAGGGGTATCCACAGGGGTATCCACAGGGATATCCAGGCTCCGGGGGCCCTTCCCGGCGGAGGTGGGCGTGGGAAGGATGTTGGGAGTCTCCGGGTGGGTGTGGAGGGGTTGATGTGCCCTGGCCTTGGGCATCCTGCGCTTTTCCCTGCTCCGTTCCCTGCTCCATTCCCTGCTCCTTTCCTTCTCCATTCCCAACTCCCAGCTCCATTCCCTGTTCCTTTCCCAGCTCCATTCCTTGTTCCATTCCCTGCTCCATTCCCTGTTCCTTTCCCAGCTCCATTCCTTGTTCCATCCCCGCTCCTTTCCCTGTTCCTTTCCCTTCTCCATTCCCAGCTCCTTTCGCTGTTCCATTCCCTATTCCTGCTGTTCCCTGTTCCTTTCCCTGCTCCTGATTATTTTCCTGTTCCTCTCCCTGTTCCTCCTACTCCTCTCCCTGATCCTCATCCTCTGCCTGATCTCTCCCTGCTCCTTCTCCTTTTCCTGATCCCCTCTTCTCCTGCTCCTTTCCCTGCTCCTGAACCTTTTCCCGATCCTCTCCCTGCTCATTTCCCTGTTCCTCTCCCTGTTCCTGATAATCTCTCTTTTCCTGCTCCTCTCTCTGTTCCTGCTCCTACTCCTCTCCCTGCTCCTCTCCCTGCTCCCGATCCTCTCCTCGCCTTCCTTATCCCGCTTTTCTCCCCGCTCCTCTTTCCTCACCCGTTTCCTCTCTCTGCTCCTCTCCCTCCTCTCCCACACCCGGCAGTCCCAGGTTTTTATTTCCCGTCTCCGGGCAGATCCCAAACTCTGCCAGGAGAGCTCCAGGTGAGCTCCGGGAGAGCTCTGGAATTCCAGGAGAGCTCCAGGAGAATTCCAGGAGAGCTCCAGGTGAGCTCCGGGAGAGCTCTGGAATTCCAGGAGGGCTCCAGGAGAATTCCAGGAGAGCTCCAGGTGAGCTCCGGGGGAATTCCAGGAGATTTCCAGGAGTTCTCCAGGACTGCTCCGTCCCCCCCATCCCGCTGCCACTCCCACTTTTCCTGCTGCTTTCCCATCCCATATTCCCAGATTCCCTGAAATCCTCTCCACTCCCACCCTTCCCTCCTTCCCGCTGCCAGAATTCCTCGTTTTTCCCCGCCCTCGTGGCCACCTGGGATGTCCCCAGGACCCCTTGGCGGGGTGGGAGCTGATCCCTCCCCATCCTTTCCCTTTTCCCAGAGTTCCCACGTGGCCGTGGAGGGATCCCAATTCCCGGGAAATCTTTGGAGCGTCCCTGGCAGCAGGGCCGGCTCCGAGGCTGTTGGTGCTGCCTCCCGCCCTGGCTCCCACGGGAATTTGGGATTTTCCATGTGGGAATGTGGCGGTCTGGCAGCCTGGAGCCTCAGCAGGATCCCACATTTCCCCTGGTTTCCCATGTTTTTCCGTGGGTTTTTTTCCGTGTTTTTTTTCCATGTTTTTCCATGTTTTTCCATGTTTCCCCACGTTTTCCTTAGTTTTCCATGCTCTCCATGGTTTTCCCGGTTCTCCCTGGCTTTTCCATGCCCTTACTGCTTTTCCATATCCTCCCTGTTTTCCAAACTTTCCCTTTTCCATGTTCTCCCTGTTTTTTCAATCCCCTTCCTGGTTTTCCATATCCCTCCTGGTTTTCCATGCCCTTCCCAGTTTTCCAAACCTTTCCTTGCTCCCTGAGCTCCTCCTCGGAGCCAGACCCTGCAGATCCCAACATTCCCGGATTGGATCAGCCGGGATTTATTTTATCCTGAGCCTCTGCCTGGATTCCCACCCTGAAATTCCCACCCTTGATTCCCGGTGCTTCCAGACCGTTATTCCCAATCCAAAGGCTCTTTGTTTTTTCTGGGAATTCTTGGGAGCAAACCAGACCCGCTCCTTTTTCCCACTTTTTCCCCTCGGATTCCTCCTTCCACCCTCCCAGCAATTCCCAGTTTGCCTGGAGAGGGATTGGGAGCAGCAATCCCGGGAGGAGGATCTGGAGGCAATTCCAGCTCTAATCCCACAATTCCTGTGGTTTTTCCTGGGAATTGTAGTGCTCATTCCCATGGATCAAAGAATGGGCTGAGGCCACTCCAGGGAAAACAGGAGATCGGTTCTCTTCCCGTCCTTCACTCCGGGTTTTCCTGTGGATCAGCATTCCCAGGATTGGGTTTGGAGCCGCTCTGCTTCCCGAGGAACGGCCAGGGAAAGGGACATTCCCAAAGAAACTCTGCCGGGTGCTTCCCGCCCCGTTTTCCATGGATCCCGACCACCCCCCGTGCCCTTCCCGACCCTTTCCCTGCCATTCCCATCCCCCTGGAGCAGCAGGACGCTCCTGTGCCAAAATCCATGGATGCAGGGAATTGCCCTTGGGAGCTTTTCCAGAGTTTTTCCATGGCATGGAATTCCAACCCCGCTCCAGCTTCCCTGGATCCATGGATCCATGAGGAGAGCCGGGGATGATCCCAGCCTGGAGCTGGGATAAATCCCAAATCCCGGCTCAGAGGGACGATCCCAGTGGATAAATGTCGGAATTCCAAGGTTCCCTGCTCAAATCCCACATCCCAGGCCGGATCCTGCATGCCAGAGGCCGGGAATTGTGGGAAGAGCCGGGAATGGGAGCGGGAATTGTTCCACGCCGTTGATTTTGTGTTTTGTTTCCCATTCCAAGCCTCCATGCGGAGAAGGAAAGGGGGTGAGTGAAACTGAAATTCCCGGGATTCTGCCCCTTCCTTCCAGCTCCCGCTGGGATCCAGCAGGATCCAAACCGGGGGGAAATCCCAGCATCCCGAGGGTCGCTGTCCCGGCAGCGTCTCAGGGAATTCAGCCGGAATTTGGGAATTTGGGATCGGCTCCGGTGACCCGGAGCTGCTCCGGTAGGAATTGAAATGCCAGGAATTGCAGAGCCGGGAGCTGGAATGGAATTTATCCCAGAATTCCAACCCTGCCATTCCCAGGTGTGATCCCTGCTCCGGATTTTCCCCACGGGAATGTCCCATGTGGGATCCTCGGGAATGACGGTGTCCGGCTTTATCCCAAATAGCCAAAGCCTCTCCTGACAAATCCAGGGAGTTTATCCCATTATTCCTGGCAGTGGCAGGAAGGTTATCCCGATATTCCTGGCAGGCTCATGCAGTTTATCCCGCTGTTCCTGGCGGATCCATTCAGTTTATCCCAATATTCCTGGCAGTTTCATGCAGTTTATCCCGCTATTCCTGGCGGATCCATGCAGTTTATCCTGATATTCCTGGTGAATCCATGCAGTTTATCCCGCTATTCCTGGAGGATCTATGTGGATTATTCCACTGTTCCCACTCTGAGGATGTGCCGGGAATGTCGCATGAGGGCCAGAGAAAAACCGGGAATTTTTCAGTGGAAGGGTTGGATCTTGACGGGATTGAAGGTCCCTCCCCACCCAACCCATCCTGGGATTTTCCGGTCCTGGATTTTCTGTCGCGGTGGTTCCCATTCCCTGTTCCAGCACGGAGCTGGGAATGTGGGATCGGCTCCTCCTGTGGGATCCAGCGGGGGTAGGACAGGGAAGAATCCGGGCAGGACGTGCCGGAGCTTTGTGGATCCCGCGGACATCTCCGTGTCCTGGGATTCCCTGGATCTCCCACCCTCCCGGCAGGACCCGGCTCATCCCGAGTACCCAAAATCCGGGAAGAATTCGCTGTTTGGTGTCAGAGAATTCCTTGGAGTGTGGGCGGGGCAGCACCCATGGAATCGCCCGGCTGAGTGGGATCAGCCCCCCCAAATCCATGGAAATTCCTCCTCCGGGATGAGCTGTGGGCAGGGAGCGATCCCGGCGGGCCGGGCTGACCCCGGGGCCGGTTTTCCTTGGATTCCAGAGAAGCTGGATGAGATCCTGGCGGCGGCGGAGCCGGCGCTGAGGGCGGAGCTGGTGGAGGCCGATTCGAGAGCGGCGACGGTGAAACAGCGCCCGACGAGCCGGAGAATCACCCCGGCAGAGATCAGTGTGAGCCTGCGGGAATTCCCTGGGAATGGGGGATTGGGAATATGGGAAATGAGAAATGGGATCCACGGGATCACCCCGGCAGAGATCAGTGTGAGCCTGCGGGAATTCCCTGGGAATGTGGGAATGGGAATATGGGAAATGAGAAATGGGATCCACAGGATCACCCCGGCAGAGATCAGTGTGAGCCTGCGGGAATTCCCTGGGAATGGGGGATTGGGAATATGGGAAATGAGAAATGGGATCCACAGGATCACCCCGGTAGAGATCAGTGTGAGCCTGCGGGAATTCCCTGGGAATGTGGGAATGTGGGAATGGGAATATGGGAATATGGGATCACCCCGGCAGAGATCAGTGTGATCCTGCGGGAATTCCCTGGGAATGTGGGAATGGGATGGAGGAATGGGATGGCAGGACATGGAGAGGGATGAGAGGCACTGGGGAGTGGAATTCCACGGGAATGGAAGGAGAGGGATGGGAGCCCATGGAGAGGGATGGGAAGGGAATGTGGTGTCAAGGGGAGCTGGTTCAGGAGTGGAATTCCCAGGAATGTGGAACCCGGGACACCCCAATCCCCAGTGCTCCCCCAGCTCCCCGGGATCCTCATCCGGGCCTGGGAATCCGCAGGGATTTCCCAGGGAATGCTGGAAAAGCAGCTCTGGAGGAGCCTGGAGAGCTGGGCTGGAATTCTGCTGGAATCCAAGTGCTGCCTCCGAGGGGAAGCGCGGAGGGAGGAGGAGGAGGAGGAGGAGGAAGGAGCTTGGGATTGTGCCGGGAATGCTGCGGGTGGGAGGCAGCTCCGGGAAAAGCGGGATAGGAATTCCCAGAGCCGTCCTCACAAGATTCCCGCCTGGAGCGGGCAAGGAGATGGGATAGGAGCCAGGGAATGATCCCAAAAGTTTGGAATTGCACTGGGTGGAGCAGCAGGAAGGTGGAGGCGAGGAGGGCGGGAAGAGCTCCCGTTTCAGTTGGAAATTCAGGTGGGAATGTCGGGTCCTTCCGGCCAAATCCAAACCGGGAATTCCCTGTTTTTCCCTTCCAGTCCCTGTTTGAGCGCCAGGGAATGGCGCATTCCGGGGTCCTGGCGGGAACGGAGAAGCCCCACGTGTCCCTCCGGAAGGGAATCCCACGGACCAAGTCTGTAGGTGAGGAAAAACCCGGGAGAATCCCTTGGGAATGAGGAGGGCGGGGCCCTGTGGGGTGTGGAGTGGGCGGGAAAGGCTCGGCCCTTCCCGGGTCTCTCCAGCTCTTGGATTTTGGAGGATTCCATGGAATTCTGGCTTGGAGGGATTCCTGGTCCTGCTCGGAGCGGAAGGTGGGATTGGAGAATTCCAGGAGAGAATTTTGGGAAAGAATTCCAGGAATTCCCGGATGGGCTGTGCCGAGGGCTGGCGGCTCTGCCACCCCCAGCAGCAGCACTGGGCATTCCCGGCGGGAATGGCACCTCTGGAACCGGGAATGCCAGAGCTGGGGCTTAGGAGAGGAGCAGGACGAGGTCTGGAGGAGGCCCCTGGATGTGGGGGATCCTTGAGCTTATCCCGAAATATTTATGGAGTCTCCAAACCCAAAACCATCTCTGGGGGGTTCTTGATTCTGTTCCCAAGGATTGATGGTGCCACCAATCCCAAAATCCATCTGTGGGAAGTCCTTGACCCCATCCCAGAAGGTTCTTGGTGCTGCCAAACCCAGAATGTCTGTGGGGGATCCTTGAGCTTATCCCGAAATATTTATGGAGTCTCCAAACCCAAAACCATCTCTGGGGGGTCCTGGACATTGTCCCTAAAGATTTCTGGTGCCACTGAATCCAAAGCCAGCCGTGGTGGCTCCTTCACCCCATTCCAGAAGGTTTTTGGTGCCACCAATCCCAAAATCCATCTGTGGTGGGTCCTGGACCTTGTCCCTAAAGGTTTGCGGTGTTTCCAAACCCAAAACTGTCAGTGGTGGATCCTTGAGCTTATCCCAAAATGTTTCTGGTGCCACCAATCCCAAAATCCATCTGTGGGCAGTTCTTGACCCCATTCCAGAAGGATTTTGGGATTGGTGGCACCAAAATCCATCTGTGGTGTGTCCTGGACTTTGTCCCTAATGGTTTGTGGTGCCACCAATCCCAAACCTGGCTGTGGGATGTCCTGGACCTTGTCCCAGAAGATTTCTGGAGTCTCCAACTCCAAAACAATCTCTGGTGGGTTCTTGATTCTGTTCCTAAAGATTTCTGGTGCCACCAATCCCAAAATCCCTCTGTGGTGGCTCCATGACCCCATCCCAAAATGTTCGTGGTGCCACCAGTCCCAAGCTCAGCCATGGAAAGTCCTTGACCCCATTCCAGAAGGTTCTTGGTGCCACCAAACCCAAACCTGGCTGTGGGGGATCCTTGATCCTAAAAAAAAAAAAAAAAAAAAAAAAAAGGGAAATTGGAGGTTTCAGGGATTGTGTTGGTGCAGCTGCTGCTCTGCCAAGAATTCCCAAGATGTTCCCAAGGCTCTGGAAGAGCTGGGATAAAATGGGATCCAGTGTGGGAGGTGGAGGATGGATCCATGGAGAAATCCCAGAGTTCCCAAACCTGTGCTGTCCAGAGGGGAACCGAGACTTTTATCCTGGTTTATCCCATTTTTTGGTCTTGGAAGTGGATCCGTTGGAATGAGGAGGATCCAGGGAATTCCCAAAGCGTGCCCAGAGTTCCTGGGTGGGAATTTTTGGGAAGCAGCTTTGGAAAAGGAGCTGTTCAAGGGCAGGAATGGCTTGGAAAGGGCTGTGGGGTGGGAATGGTGGCGTTATCCAGGATGGATCATCCACTGGGAATGCAACCATGGAATTCTCCAAGGGCTGCAGCCAGGCTGGGAAAATTGGGAATGTTCTCCTGGAGAAGGGAAGAGCTTCCAGAACATTCCAGGGCCTGGAGGGGCTCCAGGAGAGCTGCACAGGGACTGGGGACAAGGAGGGACAGCACACAGGGAATGGCTCCCACTGCCAGAGGGCAGGGCTGGCTGGGATCTGGGGAATTGGGAATTGCTGGCTGGGCTGGAATTGCCAGAGCAGCTGTGGCTGCCCCTGGATCCCTGGAATGTCCAAGGAAAGGTTGGAGCAACCTGGGAGAGCCAGAGGTGTCCAGGGGTTGGAAATGGATGGGCTTGGAGCTCCTTCCAACCCAAAGCAGGCCAGGATTGGGGAATTCTGGAATCCCTGCCCATGGAATGGTGGCAGTGCCTCGGGAAGGGCCCAGGGGCTGCCAGGGATCCGTGCAGGGAAAAGCGGGAAAAGCGGGATCTGCTGCCGGGAATGAGCCCCGGGAAAAGAGGGAACGCCTCAGGCTGGCCCAGGGGAGGCTCCGCTGGGATTTTTGGGAATTTTCCCATGGAAAGGGCGCTCAGGCCTTGGCTGGGGCTGCCCAGGGAGGTTTGGAGTCGCCATCCCTGGAGGAATCCAAGGAATTCCTGGAATTCCACTCAGGGCTGGGATCGGGCCCAGCTTGGATTGGTGACCTGGGAATTCTTTCCCAGCCTCCATAATTTGGGAATTCTGTTCTCCTACCCCCATGAGAATTCCCAGCACATCCCGGTTATCCCTGACCTTCCCAGCAATTCCCGTTCAGACAAAGTCCCCGGGAAAAAAAAAAGGGATTAAAACCTTGAAATTCCTTGAATCTCCATCACGAGAGCTCCAAATCCCAGTGGGAGAATCCCTGCTCCGAGCAGGAATGGCTGCAGCTGCCACAGCACATCCCCACACAAAAAAAATAAAAAATAAAAAATTAAAAAAAAAAAAATCCAGGGAAAAATCCCATCCAGGAGCTCCAGATCAGGCGGGACAACCCCTGGGATGGAGGGGACCCACCCCAAAACCCAAAGCAGCTCCTGGAAGAAACCATTCCCGTGGAATTCCAGGAAAACGGGGATGGGAAAGAGGCGGAGAGGGTGGGAATGGGGCTGGAATTAGAAGTCCTTGAGCTGTCATTCCACACCCACGGCCCGGAGCTGCGCAGTCACTTGATTCCAGGAGAAAAAAAAAAAAATCCCCGCACGGGCGGGGAAGGAGATGGAAAAGCAGGAAAAAAACTCGGATGGGATTTTTTGGGTTTTTTTTTTTTTTCGGGAAGAAATGCTCCCTGGCATTTGCAGTATTCCAGCAGCACTGCAGATTCCCAGGGAGGAAAGATGAAAAAATTCCCGGGGGAGGAAAATTCCCGGGATAAAGGTGGTTAACCCCTGGCTGGCTGGGGGGGCGGAAAAGGAGGAAAAAAAAAAAAAAAAGCCAAAAATATTCCAGGAAAAACTCCCTGGATGAATGTGGTTTAACCCCTGGCTGGCTGGGGAAAAAAATAAAAACGTGGGAGAAAAGATCAAAGAGATTCCAGGAAAAATTGGAAAAATTCCTGGGATAAAGGTGGTTAACCCCCGGCTGCCTGGAAAAAAATATGGGAAAAAAGATTCCAGGAGAAATTCCTGGGATAAAGGTGACTAACCCCTGGCTGTCTGGGGAAAAAAAATATTAGGAAAGATCAAAACGATTCCAGGAAAAATTCCTGGAATGGAAGTGGTTAACCCCTTGCTCGCTGGCAAAAAAAAAAAAAAAAAAAAGAAAGTGAGAAAAGATCGAAAAGATTCCAGGAAAAATTCCCGGGATGAAGGTGGTTAACCCCGGGCTTGCTGCGAAATAAAAAAAAAAATTAAAAAAAAAAAAAAAAAAAAAAAGCGGGATGGGAGGAATATTTGGAGGAAAATGGGAAGGAGTGGGGGGAAGGGGAGGGAAGATGATTCCTGTCAGACTTCCAAGATTTCTGCCGGCGCCATCTGCTCCGGCAGCGGAGTTAAAAACGCTCCGGAGGCTGCAGAGCTGCCATGGATCCCGGAGAGAATTCCAGAGGGTGGAGCCGCTGGTTTCGGAGGGGTGGGAGGGATTTGGGAATATTGGGAATGCTGGGAAGTGTCCTGGTGTTCAAGTGACTTCAGGAACGGAATCCTGGAATGGTTTAGGTGGGAAGGATCTTCGAGATTCCCAGATTCCAAGGGCAGGGACACGGCTCGCCATCCCAGGGTGCTCCAGCAGGACTTTGGGCACTGCCAGGGATCCAGGGGAAGCCACAGCTGCTCTGGGAATTCTGGGCCGATCCTTGGTGCCAGAGGATGGAGATTCCCAACCCTGGATACCAAAGGATGATGATTCCCATCCCTGAACACAAAAAGATGAAAATTCCCATCCCCGGATACCAAAAATTGGAGATTCCCATCCCTGGGTTCCAGCGGATGGAGATTCCCAACCCTGCACATGACAGGACAGAAATTCCCATCCCTGGATGCCAAAAGATGGGAATTCCCAACCCTGGATACCAAAAATTGGGGATTCCCATCCCTGGGCTCCAGAGGATGGAAATTCCCATCCCTGGATACCATAGGACCAATAATCCCATTCCTGGACATAAAAAGATGGGAATTCCCATTTCTGGCTCCAGAGGACAGAAATTCCCAATCACAGATACCAAAAATTGGAGATTCCCATTCCTGGACACCAGAGGATGGAAATTCCCATCCCTGCTTCCATAGGATTCCGATTCCCTCCCCCTTCCCACTCCTGCCTTTGCACCCTCCTGCTCCAGGTGTTTTTTTGGGATCTGCTCCCTCATCCCAGCCGTGGGAAGCAGCACTGGGAGCAGGGGGATCTTTATCCATCCCTAAGGAATGCATGGAATGAGGTTTTTCCAGGGATTTGGGCTGTTATGGCAACGGCCCCGGGAGCTTTCGCGCGAGGCTTTGTGTTTTCCTTGGAGATTAATTCCATGGAATGGCTCCGGGGGTTGCCAGGCTACACCGGGAGCGTCATCCCCATCCCAGGGAAGTCATTCCGGATGCTGGGAGTTGATCCTTACTGGTCCTTACTGGTGGCTCCCTTTGGATTCCGGTTCTTCGTTCCCGAGCTCTGGAATTTGATGGCGGCCGTGTCCCGGAATTCCCAGGGGAGCTGCGGCTGCTCCTGGATCCCTGGGAGTGTCCAGGGAAATGTTGGAGCATCCTGGGACTATGGAGGTGTCCCTGGTCTTGGAATGGGATTGGGATTGGGATTTGAGGTCCCTTCCCACTCAAACCATTCCATGATTTTTCCCCGGGAAGAACGTCCAGGCTGTGCAGGCTGTGGAATCTCCTTCCCTGGAGATATCCCCGGACACATCCCTGAGGAACATTCCCAAAGTCATCTCCAGTGGTTCCTCCCCCATTCCACGCTGGCTCCGAGCTCCCTTTTCCAGGGAATCTTGCCCAGATCCAGGAGGAAATTCCAGGATCTGGGAGCGGAGCCGCTGCCGAGGTGACACCTGAGGTGACTCCTCCCGGGAAGGGCTGGAAAACCGAGGGATGATCCAGGAATGATCCCGTGGCTGTGGCCCAGCCTGGAATGGTGGCTGGGAATGAACATGGAATTCCTGGGATATGGCTTTCCATAGTGTCCATTCCACCTGGCAGTTCCTTGGATGTGGTTTTTCCATGGTATTCTCTACATTTGGCAATTCCTTGGATTTGATTTTCCTTACATTTGGCAATTCTTTGGATGTGATTTTCCACAGTATTCCCTGAACATGGAAATTCTTTGGATGTGGTTTTCAGTAGTGTCCCTGCCCTTGGTAATTCCTGGGATTTGGTTTTCCATGGTATTCCCTGCACATGGCAATTCCTGGGATGTGGCTTTTCCATCATATTCCCTACTTTTGGCAATTCCTGGGGTGTGGATTTCCCGAGTCCCTTCCACTTGGCAGTTCCTGGGATGTGATTTTCCAATTTTCCCTATATTTGGTAGTTCCTTGGATGTAATTCTCCATAGTGTCCCTGCCCTTGGCAATTCCTGGGATGTGCTTTTTCCATGGCATTCCCTGCATTTTACAATTCCTTGGATGTGATTTTTCCATGGTGTCTCTGCCCTTGGAGATTCCTGGGATTTGGTTTTCCATAGTATTCCCTATCTTTGGCAATTCCTGGGTTGTGATTTTTCCATGGTATTCCCTGCCCTTCACAATTCCTTGGATGTGGTTTTTCATGGTTTTCCCTATATTTGGCAATTCCTTGGATTTGATTTTCCATGGTATTTATTCCCTACATTTAGCAATTCCTTGGATGTGGTTCCCATGGTACTCCCTAATTTTGGCAATTCCTTGGATGTGGTTTTCCATGGCGTCCCCTCCTCATTTGGGGAAAAAATGGAGGAGAGCTGGATCCAAGGACTGGGTGTCCCAATTTCCCCCTGATCCAGCAGCCACGCCCTGGACATTCCAGAGGGAAGATCCCACTTTCCCACTGGAATTCCTGCCCTAGCTCAGCCAGACACCACATTCCCAGGACGAGCTCTCCTATTCCATGTCCTGGGACATTCCAGGCCCAGGGATGGAGCTCTGAGCTTCCCAAATATCCCAGGGTCACCTCCCGGCCATTCCCAGAAATCTCCAGAAAGGCAGGACTGGGGGTTTTTTTTGGAAATCTTCCTGCTGCTCCCAGAACATTCCACAGCTCCATCTAGAGCAGGAGCCCAGATTCCCAAGGAAAAAAGGGCAAGGATGGGATCATCCTCCCGAATTCCCCCTGCTGGCCTCGGCTCCCAGGATTTCAAAAAAAGCTTGGAAAAGGAACATTTTCCATGGCTTTGTCCAGGCTCCCTTTGAACCTGTTCCGTGCTGCCGGTTCTTTATTCCCACTGCACATCCCCAATTCCCAAAAATAGCCCAGTTTCCAGCACGACCAACAGCATGGGATGGAATTTCAGTGCCAAATTCCTCCCTTTTGTCCCCATTGGATTCTGCCTCGGGTGGAATCGCTGACGGATTCCGGGCGGAGCTGCCGGAGCCTTTCAGTGCCACTGGAAGAGCATTTTCCATAAAGGAAAAGCTCCAGAGGCCAAAAAAAAAAAAAAAAAAAAAAAAGAAAAGAAAAAGCCCAAATCCTCTCCGGAGCGGTTTGAAAGCTTGGGAAGAGCGGAGCAGGGATTGGGAAGGAGGAATTTTCCCCAAGGAAGGGTGAGCACGGCGGATCCGGGCTCGGGAATGAGGCTGGAGCTGGGAATGGAGGGAGGGAATTGTGGCGTGAATGGATTTTAGGATCATGGAATGGCTGGGGTTGGGAAGGCCCTTAAATCATCCCAATCCAGCCCTGATTTTTTTTTTCCTGCTTTTCCATCCAAATCCTCGCAGTGTCTCCGAGTATTCCGTGAAAAAGCAGGAATTCCTGCTAGACCCTGCCGGGCTCAGTCTGGCGCTCGGGAACAGATGTCACCCCTCGGGAAAGCGGGAAGTGTGACGGGAGCCGCGCCCGTGCCGGTGGCACTTGGATGTCTGGCACGTTGGCGGCACTTCCGTCACCGGGAACAGCTCCCGGGGGAGCTGATCCCATGGGAATGTGGCTGTGGGGGGAGGCTCTCGTGGAATCCTGGAATGGTTCGGATTGGGGTCACCTCAAAGCTCATCCCATTCCCAGCCTTTCCATGGGACACCTCCCATGGCCCCAGGGTGATCCAGCCTGGCCTTGGACACTTCCAGGGATGCAGGGGCAGCCACGGCTGCTCTGGGAATTCTGACTGGGTGCTCCAGTCTCGGAGCTTCCGCTGGAAGCGAGGCTTGGAAAGAGGAAAAGTCTCGGGAACAAAGTGGGGTGTGAGGAACAACCCCAGCACTTCCCGGTCTGTCCCACTCTGGGAATTCTCTGGGAATGTCCTCTTCACTGCTCTCCTTGTTTTCCTTGGGAAGACAAGGAACTCATCCCTGATTTCGTTTTTTTCCTTGTTTTCCAGCTGGAGACAAGGAACTCATCCCTGACTCCCTTGTTTGCTTTGTTTTCCATGTGGAGATGTGAAACTTCTCCTTGGCTCCACTTCTTTCTTTTTTTTCCAAGTGGAGACAAGGAACTCATCCCTGATTCCTTTGTTTTCCGTGTGGAGAGAAAAAAACTCATCCTTGACTTTGCTCTTTTCCTTGTTTTCCATGTGGAGACAACAAATGCATCCCTGACTCCATTTCTCTCCTTGCTTTCCAGCTGGAGACAAGGAACTCATCCCTGATTCCCTTGTTTTCCTTGTTTTCCACGTGGAGATGTGAAATTTCTCTTTGGCTCCACTTCTCTCCTTGTTTTCCAAGTGGAGACAAGGAACTCATCCCTGATACCATTGTGTTTCCCTTGTGAAGAAAAGAACTCATCCTTGATTCCATCATTTTCCTTGGGAAGACAAGGAACTCATCCCTGATTCCAATTTTTCCTTTTCTTTTCCTTTTCCTTTTCCTTTTCCTTTTCCTTTTCCTTTTTCCTTTCCCTTGGGAAGTCGAGGAGCTCCTCTCTGATTCTGTTGTTCCCTTGTTTCCCTTGGGAAGTCAAGGAGCTCCTCCCTGATTCCATCGTTTTCCTTGGGAAGACAAGGAACTCATCCCTGATTCCACTGTTTCCCTTGAGAAATCAAGGAGCTCATCCCTGATTCCAATTTTTCCTTGTTTCCCTTGGGAAGTCAAGGAACTCCTCCTTGATTCCAATTTTTCCTTATTTCCCTTGGGAAGTCGAGGAACTCCTCCCTGATTCCAATTTTTCCTTGTTTTCCTTGGGAAGTCGAGGATCTCCTCCCTGATCCCAATTTTTCCTTGTTTCCCTTGGGAAGTCGAGGATCTCCTCCCTGACTCCGTTGTCTCCCTTCTTTCCAGGGGAAGACGAGAAACTGGCCGCGTCCTTGCTGGACGGGAAGTTCCCGCGGAGCACCTCCATGACGGACACGGTCCGGGAAGGCCACGGGATCCCCCCTCCCCCCCAGACCGCCCCTCCCCCGCCCCCCTCCCCCTATTACTTCGACACCGGCCCCCCTCCGTCCTTCTCGCCGCCGCCGCCGCCGGGCCGGGCCTACGACACCATCCGCTCCAGCTTCAAGCCGGGCTTGGAAGCCAAACTCCACGGGCTGCCGCAGGTGCTGAGCGCGGCCGAGATGTACGACCAGGCCCGGGGCTCCATGCCCTACCCCGAGAGGCAGAAGAGAGCCCGCTCCATGATAATCCTCCAGGATTCCTCCCACCTCCCCGTGGAACCCACCGAGATCCCGCGGCCCGGCCCGGCGGCGACGCCTCCGGAGAAGCTCAAGAGGAAGGGCAGGGTCATCGACAACCCCTACGCCAACATGGGCCAGTTCAACGTCAGCCTCTTCGCCCCCACCAAGCCGCAGAGGAAGAAGAGTCCCCTGGTCAAGCAGCTCCAGGTGGAGGATGCCCAGGAACGGGCGGCCTTGGCCATCACCGGCGGCTACTCCTCCCGGGAGCCGTCGCCCACGCGCCGGAGCCACCGCCTGGAATACCAGCACCACCCCGGCATCGCTCAGGTGGAAGCCGCCGGCCTCCCCTTCGCCACCGCCATCGCCGCCGGCGTCATGAAGGACCGGGACCGGCGGCTGGACGAGCGGAGGAAATCCACGGTGTTCCTGTCGGTGGGAGCCATCGAGGGGCCGGCGCCGGGCGGCAGCGAGATGCCGTCGCTGCAGCAGTCGCGCTCCATCGACGAGCGGCTCCTGGGCAGCCGGGACGTCCTCCTGCCGTCCCCCGTGTCAGCTTTAAAGCCATTAATCAGCAGCTCCTCCTCGACCTTCATCCACCCCCTGACGGGAAAGCCCCTGGATCCCAACTCGCCCCTGGCGCTGGCGCTGGCCGCAAGGGAACGGGCGCTGTCCACTCAAGTCCCATCCCGGTCGCCCACCCCGATCCACAGCCCCGACTCGGACAGAGCCGCGCCCCTGTTTGTGGACATCCAAACCAAAGAACCGGACAGGGGGGACTTGGAGAGCTTGGTGTCCCCCGCCTACTCCCCCGGAGGGAAGGCGGTGATGGCGGCCGACGCCGGCGCTCTGACCCCCACCAAGAGCCCCTGGGCGACTCCGACCACCCTGCGGAAGGAGCCCGAGGTGCGAGCGGAGCCGCCGGGCAAGGAGGAGAAGAAACCCGAGGACAAGAAGTCCATGATCATCAGCATCGTGGACACGTCGCAGCAGAAGACCGCCGGCCTCATCATGGTCCACGCCACCAGTAACGGTCAAGACGAGATCGGCCTGGAGATCAAAGAGGAGAGCCCGGCCGTGCCCGAGGTCTGCGCGGAGCCGGTCGAGTCCCCCAAGGCCGAGCCCCAGCCCAGCCCCGTGGGGAAGCCGCCGGCCAGCCCGGCCTCGGAGAAGGCGCTGGGCCAGGGCAGCTCGGAGGAGGAGGTGGAGCCCTACACGGTGACCCTCCCGCCGGCCCAGCTGTCCTCCAGCGACGAGGAGACCCGCGAGGAGTTGGCCAAGATCGGGCTGGTGCCACCCCCGGATGAATTCGCCAACGGGGTGCTGGTGACCACCCCCGGCACCCCCGTGAGCCACCTGGCCGCGCCCAGCACGCCGTCCCTGCCAGCGGCAGCAGTAGCACCTTCTCCCCCCGGCGCGACACCCTCAGGGAAGCCCTCGGACACCCCCGCGGCCCCGGAGTCGGCGGCGGACTCGGGAGTGGAAGAGGTGGACACCAGGAGCTCCAGCGACCACCACCTGGAGACCACGAGCACCATCTCCACGGTCTCCAGCATGTCCACGCTGTCCTCGGAGAGCGGCGAGCCCACCGACACCTACACGTCCTTCGCCGACGGCCAAACTTTTCTACTCGAGAAGCCACCAGTGCCTCCAAAGCCCAAACTCAAGTCCCAGCTCAGCAAGGGGCCGGTTACTTTCAGGGACCCACTTTTGAAGCAGTCTTCGGACAGCGAGCTCATCTCCCAGCACCACGCGGCCACGCTGGCGGCCACCAGCGCGGCCCGGCCACGCTACCTCTTTCAGAGAAGGTCCAAGCTATGGGGCGACCCCATGGAGAGCAGGCCCGGCCACGGGGCCGAAGAGGACAAACCAACTGTGATCAGCGAGCTGAGCTCCCGCCTCCAGCAGCTCAACAAGGACACGCGCTCCTTGGGCGAGGAACCGGCCGGCTCCGCGCTGGATCCCGGCAAGAAGTCGCCGGTGGTGGCCGCACGGTAAGGGCCGGGCGTGGCCGGGGTCGGGGACGGGGACAGGGCGGGCGTGGCTTCGAGGGACATCCCGGAGCTGCGGGAGCTCGGCGGAGGGGCCGGGACGTGTGCAGGAGGATTGGGCTGGGCCCGGCATGTCGTGGTCGTGGCTGCTGCCCCCGCTCCGCCTTTGCCGTGGCGCCGTGTCCTGCCCTGCCTGTGTGACAGGGCTGTGGTGACAACGGCCGTGCTGTGGTGACAACGGCCATGCTGTGGTGACAACGGCCGTGCTGTGGTGGCAATGGCCGTGCTGTGGTGGCAACGGCCATGCTGTGGTGGCAATGCTGTGGTGACAATGATGATATAGTGACAATAACAATGCGGTGGTGACAATGACGATGTTGTGGTGACGATGACAATGTCGTGGTGGCAATGCTGTGGTGACAGTGGGGATGCTGAGGTGACAATGACAATGCTGTGGTGACAGTGACAATGCCGTGGTGACAATGACGATATAGTGACAATGACAATGTAGTGACAATGACAATGTAGTGACAATGACAAAGTGCTGACAACAGGGATGCTGTGGTGACAGTGATGATGTGACAGTGGCAATGCTGTGGTGACAGTGGCAATGCTGATGTGACAATGCAGTGGTGACAATGGAGATGGGGATGCTGTGATGACGATGATGTGGTGACAACGACAATGCTGTGGTGACAATGGGGATGCCATGGTGACAATGACGATGCTGTGCTGACAATGGCGATGCTGAGGTGACAATGACAACGGTGTGGTGGCAATGCTATGGTGACAATGGGGATGCCGTGGTGACAATGCTGTGACGACAGCGATCATGTGATGACAATGCCAATGCCATGGTGACAATAGCAATGCCTTGGTGACAATGACGATGCCTTGGTGACAATGGCGATGCCTTGGTGACAGTGACAAGGCTGTGGTGAAAATGACGACGTGCTGACAATGACGACATGGTGACAATGATGCCGTGATGACACTGTCAAAGCCGTGGTGACAATGACGACGCCATGGTGACAATGACAACGCCATGGTGACATTGTCAACACTGTGTTGATTATGACAATGTTCTGGTGACAATGCTAATGCCATGGTGACAATGCCAATTCTCTGGTGACAATGTTGAGTCCTGGGTCATCCCTTCCGTGTTCCCTCCTGGCCGGATGGGATTTTCCAGGATTTCCATTTCTGAGGACCTCCAGGTTCTGTCCCACTCAGGAGGTGACAAAGGTGGCCGGTGGCACCCCCTGGACAGGACAAGGTGGCACCAACCCCACCCTGGTTCTGCCTCACCCACCCGGCCCTAAAACGATCCCAAATCTTCCACATCAGAGCCCAGATCCTGAAAAAGCTTGGGAATATTAAATCCCAGCAGGAAGGGACCCAAAATCCAAGTCCTGTCTTGCCCTTCCAGGTGTGGCCCCACAGGGCCACCATGAGCCGGTGTCACCCAGTGTCACTCAGTGTCACCCATGGGTGCCAGGAGCCCTGGATCAGGGGCAGCCATTCCCATGGGAAAAGCTTTTCCAACCCAACCATCCCGGCCACGGCTGCTCCCTGCACGCGGCGCTGGCACAGGAGGGGACATTTCAGGTGGTGGCCTTGGGGACAAAGTGTCCTGGAGCATCACCCTGGCCTATCCCAGCAGATCCAAACTGGGAATACTGGGAGCAGATCCGGGGCTGTCTCCCTGCCCCAGGGTGTCACCCGAGGTCCCCTCCCTCATCCCGAGCTGAGGGTGTTTGGGGATCCTCTGGAATCGGGGCTGTGCCCATCTCCAGCGGCGCCAGAAATCTGGGAATTCCAGGCTTTTACAAGCCCTGCCAGAATTCCACAAAATTCCACTCCTGGTTTGGGGTTCCCTGCTGGGAATCCTCTGGTCCCCGGTGACATTGGAATGTCCCTTTCCCTGTCCCCATCCCTTCCATCCGTGTCCATCCAATCTCTCCGGTTTTCCCCCGGAGCAATTTCACCGATTTCGAGGATCACCCCTTCTCCATCCTCTCTTCCTGCCTTCCCCGTGATTCCCGCAATTCCCAGGGATCCGTGCCCCCCTCATCCGGCCCCCAGAGCCTCCTGTTTTCCCGCACATCCCGTCCTTGCTCCCCCCTTCCCGCTGGAATCCAGCCCTTGCAGCCATCCCGCAGAGTCCCACATTCCCGGCTTTTTCCCTTTTGGGAAAGTCACGTTGCCTTTCATCTCCCGAGTTTTGGGCTCTCAAAACTTCTCCCGGGAAGTGAAAGTTCAGTGGTGAACGGAATTTTGAATGATGGTGGCAGTGTCCGAGCTCTCCTGGTGGTTTTTTTTTTATGGAATTGCTGTGAATTCAGGGAATAATGGGAGCAGGGTTAGGTAAGAGGGAGTGACCCAGTTTGGGATGCGTTCTCCAGGCTCTGGAATTGTCCAGAGAAGGGAAGTGTCACCTGAGCGTCCCTCAAGAGCTGCCAGGAGCCAGAGGCGGCCTGGAATCCCACAGGGATGGGGACAGGGATGGCAGCCTGGAATTCTGCAGGGATGGGGACAATGAGGTGACCTGGAGTCCCCAAAAGGACACTGAGGGGTCTTGGAATCCCACAAGGAACAGGGACACTGAGGTGTCCTGGAATCCCCAGAGGGGACACTGAGGTGTCCCAGAGTCACCAAAAGGGGACACTGAGGTGTCCTGGAATCTGGGAATGGGACACTGAGGTGTCCTGGAATTCCCAAAGAGGGACACTGAGGTGTCCTGGAATCCCACAGGGACGGGGACTCTGATGTTCCCACACCTGATCCTTCCCAGCCCTTCCAATGGCTCTGGATCCATGGGATTGGCAGAGCAGCTGCCATTGGGGAATCATGCTGGAATTCCTCCCTCCCCACATTCCTGCTGAATTCCCAGCAATTCCATGCAAGCTCAGGGAATTCCCAGCTCCAGAGCAATCCCTGGCGCCTTTCCCTGACCGATCCCTCTGGGAATGCTCCCTGGGAATCCCCGATCCGTGACTTTTTCCCTCGCTCTAACTCCGGCTCTGTCTCCTCCCAAGCCGGGCGTCCACGGAAGGACCTTTGAGCCGAGGGCCTGGGAAAGAGCCCAAGGAATTCTGACACTGGGAACGTCAGGTCACGGCTCAGGCCACACCCGGGACGGTGACAATGGCAGCGGAGCAAGGGGACAATTCCCTTCATCCGTGGTGGCCCTTGGTGGCCGTGTCCAAGAGCGGCTTCCTCGTGTTTAACCCAAAATCCTGGAATTGTTGAGGTTGGAGAATCCCTCTGATCCCACCGAGTCCAACCATTGCCAGCACTGCCCCGTGTCCCCCAAGTGCCACATCCACACGGCTTTTAATCCCACCGGGAACGGGGACTCCGCCCCTTCCCTGGGCATCCCATTCCAACGCTTCATCAACTTTCCGGGAAGGAGTTTTCCCAAAATCCAGCTTCACCTCCAGGTGATTCCCTTTCGTTCCCTGGGAGCAGAGCCCACCTTGCCCCGGCTGGAATTCCTGTCTGGGATTCCTGGGAGTGGTGACGGGATCCTGGAAAAACCCCAGGATCCTGGAAAACCCCGCTGAGGCGCGGGGGAGGTTCGGGATGTGCCGGAGCCGCTCCCGGTGCCGGGAGCCGCGCGTGTTCCGTGTGTGACATCCGTGTCCCCAATAAAGCTGACGGTGACCGTGACAGGTGTGTGTGTGTCATTGGGGACACGCCCATTCCCAGGATTTTTCGGGAGCCACATTCCCCGCCCGGAGCCATCTCCAGCTCCAGGCGACATTCCCGCAGAATTCCCGCCACGTTCCCGTCCCGCCTCCCCCTGTCCCCTGCCCCACCCAGCCCTGCCAGGCTCTCGCCATCCATAATCCCAACTGGATCCATCTTCCCAACCTCTGGGACTCACCAGGAGCATCCCAAACATCCCAAAAACCCCTCCTCAGCTGCTTTGTGTTTTCCAGCCGATCGGAACGATCCCATCGTGCTTTAATTCCCAGGAATTTGGGGTGTGGAGGGCCCAGGATCTGTCCAGGTCATTTTTGTATTTTGTGTTTTCCTCTGGAATTTGGAAGGAGGCTCCAAGTCCAGAACTGTGGGAGCTTTGCCCATCCCAAGGGTTCTTCCAGTTAAATCCCAGCCACAGATTTCCAGCTTTTCCAAGAGTTTTCCCTGGCAGTGATAAATCTCCAAGGCAACTTCCAGGAGAGTTCCGAGGTTTTGGGGCTCTGGAGTCGGGCCGGGGGAGCTTTTCCAAAGGGACCTGGGGACTCCCAGGAGCATCCCAAAAGTCCCAGCTTGGGGCTCTGGATCCAAGCTCAGGGAAGATTTTCCAAGGGATCTCGGTGATTCCCAAGGAGAATCCCAAATATCGAGTTTGGGGCTCTGGATCTGAGCTCAGGGAATCTTTGCCAAGGGCTCCTGGTGATTCCCAAGGAGAATCCCGATTATTCCAGTTTGTGGCTCCAGATCTGGACTCAGGGGAGCTTTTCCAAAGGGTTCTGGCTCCTGGGAACTTCCAGGATCATCCCAATGGTCCCAGTTTGGGGCTCCAGATCCAAGCTCAGGGAAGATTTTCCAAGGGATCCTGGTGATTCCTGAGGAGAATCCCAAATATCGAGTTTGGGGCTCCAGATCCAAGATCAGGGAATCTTTTCCGAGGGCTCCTGGGGACTACCAGGAACATCCCAAATGTCCTGGTTTGGGGCTCTGGATCTGAGCTCAGGGAATCTTTTCCAAAGGGGTCATGGTGATTCCCCAGGAGAATCCCAAATGTTGAGTTTGGGGCTTCAGATCCGAGTTCAGGAAAGATTTTCCAAGGAGTTCTGGCTCCCGGAGACTCCCAGGAACATCCCAGATATCCCGGTTTGGAGCTCTGGATCCGAGGGAAACTTTTCCAAGGTTTTTTTTTTATGTCTTTGCTCGTTCTTTTGTTTCTCTTTAACCCCAAAAGGCTCCCGGGAAGCGGAATTTGAGCTTCCAAAGGGAGCGTTTCCGGTGCTGCTCTGCAATTCCACGAATTC